TGAACCTGCTTATCAACAGTGCAGATACATTTACAAATAATAGCAATAATAATATCACCCAGGTTGTCTTTGAGCAGCGACTGCATGCTGACTCTTTTCATATATTATCTTATAATGAATCTGTATTCCTAAGCCAGCAGACCCTGAAAGTCATCACTTATGAGCACCTATTTTGTGCAAGGCATGGTGTTAGGCAGGAATGGTGGGTGTATAAACAAAGGCTTGGTCTCTGTTCTTAGGGAGTAGAGCAGCTGTGGGAAGGACCTGGGGCCATGTTAATGCTGTCACTCTGATTTCTTTTCCCAAGCTATGTGATATGTGGAAGATAGTAAAACTCACTTTGCGGTGATCTCCTGGGAGTTAGCCCTTCTGTTCATTTCAAAGGATTGAGCCTTTGCCATTGTCCCTATACCTGATGGCTGTCCCTTGAACTTGACCTTGAGTGCTCAGGAACACTGAGCTTTCAGGACAGCTTGACCTCCCAGTGACTCACATTCTAATAGGCGGTAAATGGGAATAATGATTGTCACAATAACAGCTTTCCTGCCAGGGAACCATGTCATCTGAGAAGCCCCAGTCAAATGGCACTTGAAAATAATACTTGAACACAGAGTTCGGCTGTTTTCCACCATTGTTCTTTGTTTGTACCAGTTCATGCGTGGGGCTCTGCCACACAGTTCAACACTCAGGGAACTGTTTGGTTTGGGATTGTCCCATCTCTCACAGATTTCAAAGGACTAAAGGGACAGTGCAGGTGGTAGGAGCTCTGAAATCATAATAAACAGAAACCACACATTTCTCCTTAGACTACCTTCTAAGTAACTGAGGTGGTCTCAACTCTCAAAGATCTCTTTCTTTCATCTCTTTCAATGTAAAATACATTTAAAATCATTACCGTTTGGATAGTTGAAAATTGTATTGGGTCAATAGCCTCTCGTGACTTTTAATGTCAAGGTTATTGAGGAAGACGACACTGCCCATCTGGATGATGTCATTTTAGAAGCCACAGTCTATAGCCCTCTCCACTTTGTACTCTCTCCAAATATGTGTGTTTTCATTAAAGAAACACGCATATGCCTGTTAGGGATCTTTCATTGTCAAGTGACAGAAAGCTCAACTCAGCTTGAGCATTATACTTACAGTGTCTACGGGTAAACGTCAGGCATGGTTGGATCCAGGGGTTCCGATAATGATAGGCTCTCCCCTCCATCTCTTTGCACCCTTTTCTACTTTGTTGGTTTATACTCAGGCCTGTCCTCTTCCTTGGCCTGACCATTCCAGATTGTGTTTTTCCTGACAGTTGGCTATCGCAAGTAAGTAGAGGCCTCTTTGCCCCCATAGTTCCAACAGAAGTCCTTATTATAAGCCTAATTGGACTGACTTAAATTGTATGATCAGCCCTGGCTTGGGGCTGAGATCAGCCTCAGCCAAGCTGAGAAATGAGGAGAGGCGATTCGCTCATGGAAAATGAGGCTGCTGTGCAAGGAAAGGACTAAACCGATTCTGGGAAAGCAAAAGCAACAGACATTCACGACAGAAGAAAAAGGCCAGGAGTTGATTGGAAAGAAAAATGTTCTACCTTGTTTAAGGTCTTGAGTCCTTGGAGATGTACTGTATGTTTCAGAATTCTGGCAGAAGTTGAATGACAAACTCAAAAGGGATGATTGGAAAAGACTTATTGCAGGAATAACTATAAGGTGTGGCCAAGGTAAGGGGAACCAATAAGAGATGGAGAAGTACCCCAGAGCTAACAATAGCAAGAGGTCACTACCACCCTTTACCCTGAAATGGCCAGGAAAAGGAGCAGTTACCTGAAAACAGCAAGAATTAAATAACTATAGAAAAGGATCACCCATTAAGAACTGTGGTCTTTGCGAGAGAAACAGCATTCTGCCAACCGCTATCCACTGATCTTTCACTGGTGTCTCCCACTGGCTGAAGCTGATGAGAAGCCAGAGGCACGGGGGCCCCAAGGGTGTACTTTTAAGGTCAGCTCAGAGGGCACAGAGCAGGGTGGGAAGGGGGAGAGCCTGGATTTGGGGGCCAAGGGTGGTTGTCCAGAACACACATTTCTCCTTAGACTACCTTTTAAGTAACTGAGGTGGTCTCAACCCTCAAAGATCTTTTTCTTTCATCTCTTTCAACATAAAATACATTTAAAATCCTTACTGTTTGGATAGTTGAAAATTGTGTTGGGTCAATATTAATGATATTGAAAATTTGTCCTTAGGTTCCATTTTCTCACTTATAAATGATCTGCTATTCCTTTTGCTCATCCCAAATTATCAGTAGAGACATTATTTCCATGGTGCAGTAATAAAGGTGCATAAAATATTCTGTTTTTAGAATATTTCTTTTCTTTTGATATCATTTCAGTTAATCATTACTAGATGTTTCTTTAAATTGTATTATGCATTGTATCCATAAAAGAAATAATAACTTATCATGGACAGTTATCAGAAGCAAGACTATCTTTTATTGCCTTCATCTTTAAAACTTCTCAAACAGTTACCACAGATCAAGTCTGCGGGAACCAACTCAAACTAGAATTTTTTTCTGAATAAACATTTAATACTGAATCCTAGTGTGGAGACATATGAGTGTTTTTTAGCAAAATGTTACAATGAATGGCAAACCCTCAATACTGTGACTTTCTTATATTATCACAAATATCAGCAAATTTGCTTGGTATTTAGAAAAAATATAAAGTATGATCCTATACTTCAGCTGCAGTTTTCCGTAAGTTGATGTCCTTTGTCTTTTCCTATACTGTTAACCTTTGATTTTATAGATTAATAACAGTAGCTCTGGAACAAGATTTGTACATATTATATTTAATTTTGAGCTTTTAGAACTGGCATTTACATGAACTAAAATGATATGAAACAACAACTTCTTTTAAAATCCTATTAAGTACAAATCCTAAAACCTCATCTATACTACACAGGGGGAAACGTTTTATTAGCATTATTCTTCTCTGTGAGATGGTCTGGGGATTGGAAGAATGGCTCCCGCAAAATGGCTAGTTCTTGAGTCAACAGAGAGAGTTCAGTGCACTCCAAGGGAGGACAAGGAGCGGGGGGGGGGGGGGGGGGGGATGAAAGTAATGGATTAATATAGCTCATAGGGAAGACAGGCCATAGACTTGTCTAAAGGGAGGTGATGGTTCATTCAGGAGGAAGGTGACAAGCAAGTCTAGCATCTTGGATAACATCCACTTATGGAAGATTTTGAAAGCTGGACAGATGGTTTGATTTTGATTTTGGTGGCCAGTAGGAAACCTTCATATGTAAAAGCAGAGAGAAGGAAACTTAGGGTTGATTGCTATGGGTGGAGTGTTCATGTCCCCCAAGATGCACATGTTGAAGTCCTAATCCTTCATGTGATGGTATTTAGAGGTGAGGTCTTTGGGAGGTAATTAGATTTAGATGAAGTCATAAGAGTATAGTGCCCATAATGGGATTGGTGCCCTTATAGGGAATGAAGAGACCAGAGCACTCTCTGTCCACCATATAAGGATACAACAAGAGGGTAGCTTTCTACAAACCAGGAAGGGGGCCCTCACAAGGATCCATGTTAGACTTCAAGCCTCCAAAATTGTGAGAAATAAATGTTTGTTGTTTAAGCCACCCAGTCTATGGTAATCTGCTATAGCAACCTGAACTAAGGCAGTGACTTAACCCAACCTCTTCTCTTTAAAAAGAAGGAATCTGGGCCCAGAGGATGAAGGCACTTCATCTAAAGTTACACTCTAAATAAAAATACAGAAATAATTAGAGAGAGGGACCATGCTGTGATATCATTATTCCTTTTCTTTAACTCAAAAGAATTTCCTGCAGCTCATTCACTGCAATGTTTTATTCTTTCCTTGAACTCTAGTAGCCGTTCCCTGCACTCCCTACAGTATCAAGGTCAGTGTTGGGCTAGTGGCCTTTGAACTGGGGCCATAATCCTGTCTTTGACTTCCTGGTTCTGTCAACTACACACAGTGATGTGTCCTGTACTGCTTTCTCCTGTCAGTGCCCTCATTATAGAAGGGCCAGGTGCCCAATATAAAGTCTTCCCCATTAACATCGCTGGTCTGTAATCCCTACCCTGAATTATTAAATACAGCATGTCTCAAACATACTTTTTATCATTGTTCTTAATTTAATCTTTTTACAGTTACCATTAAGTTGTTTAAACTGTCTGGGTACAGAAAAAAGAAAGATAAATGAAGCCCTGACTCTCTTGCTACCTAGAAAAATAATAAACAGGGATATGGCAGAATTGTTGGATTGGTTTGTGCTTGGATCATCAGGTTTGTGCCTTTGCTTAACCTTATCTCAACGTGCAAACTATTTCTTGTCAGAGTAAAAGCACAACACCACAAAACAATAAAAACCAGTTGGAAGCTCTGAGATGCAAGTTCAGTTCTCAGCTTTCCTCATATCTACTTCAGATTCTTTCAAAGGGTAGCATTTATATCACTGTGCCTACGAGGATATTCTTGGAGGAAAGGAAGCTGGTAATTAGTATTTATGATGTGCCTGGTCTGTTTCAGGCCATGTGCCGTAATCATCTCTGACCTATGAGGTAAGCTTGGAGAAATCGAGTTACTTTGCTAACATCACTC